CGCTGTGCAGAGCAGCTCTGCACCTTTGCTGCGATGCTTTGCTGGGTGCGTGGCTTATGGAGCTTTTGGGGCATTTTTTGGGTGGCTCTTGCCAACTTTTCAGCTTCTCACTTAGCCTGCTGAGTGTGGGCAGAGGTGTGAAGAGTCAGGGCTGGAGGGGAAGCTGGCAGAGGTGCAGCTTGATGCTTTGAGCTGGATGGAGGGGGAGATGGGATGGGACCAGCACCTCCCAGTTGCTGAACTCCTCCAGAAGAGCTCGTGTGAGCCAAAGGAACTAACAGAGAGAGAGGAAGACCTAAACTAGGTCAAACCTGGCTTCAAAGTGGAACCAAATGTTAACGCTTTGTGTGTGATCTGCCCTGGGAAAGTTCACAGCCCATTTCTGTTTGGAGCTCAGCTGTAACGTATGTGTGCCGCACATGGTCGTGGTGGGACTGCTGCTGCAGATGATCTGCAAGAGCCTGTGAATGTTGCAGGAAGGCTGCTGCTGTGCCCGTCTCCAAAGCTAGTCTCAGCAGGTGCCTTTTGCACAGTAATATTAGGAAAAATAAAATTGATTCAGTCCTTATTCTCCTTGATTTTTGTGTATGCTGCGGGATCAAACAAGGAGTGGTTTCCTGCATGGGAAGTACCATCCATGGCTTTGAGAGTGAAGGCTGTGGGCTCTGCTCTTTGGGGAATTTCTAACTTGTCATTTCTGGGTTATGTGGTTAAGCTCAGAGCAGGTACAGGGATACCAAGACACGTGGGCAGCTGCCAGTGCAGAACTTGTTGGTCCTTAAAAGCGAATGAATCAGTTTCTTCACTTGTGTTTCCATTTGATGAGACCTTGCCATGGGAGAGCTATGAGAACAGATTTCTGCTAGGGATGTAGGAAACTTGGGAGCAAAGTGATCATTCTTGCCCAGAGCATGAGAAGCTGTTAGCTGTCAGGATGTGTGGCACTGCCCAGAATTGCTGAGGGCTTTGCATGTTTTTGTGGCTTATCTTCCTGCACTTTATAGTTCCAGCCCCAAATTTTCTTGCCGAAGTCTTGAAACTGAATTAAACAGGGTGAGACCTAATAAAGTCTGCTGTCATAACAATATCAGCTGGTCATCATGAGTTCTGGATGTCATGCTCACATCATCCCATGGCATATTCCAGTGAAGGTCTGGCTGTGCCCTTCTTGAGCTGTTGGTTATAACTTAGCAGTGAAGGCAGACAAAGCTCTTTGTTACTGCTGTGAGAAATCTTAGGCTTAGGCACAGGTGGTGGTGGACTTTGGGTAGGGAACTACAGAGGGCACTGGGTCTCCAAATGGAGCAGGGAAGAAAGGAACAGGGAAGAGCTGCTGTGGGACTAAAGTTCCATTGAGGAATACCAGCCAGCACTGGGAATGAGCAGCATGACTTCATCAGGGCACGCAAAATGAAAGAGAAACTATTCCTGAGTTTGTGAGCAGCCTATCAAAGTCTTGTCCAACTTGCAGGTTGGTGGGGGCTCCAAGTTCCCCTCCAGTAGATGAGGTTCCTGCAAGAGAAGAAACCTGGAGCATAAGAGAGCCATGCTGCCGGAGGCTGAGCCAGGCTCTGTCCCTGCTGCTGTGCTGGGTGCCCTTCTCAGCTGGAGCAATGTCTGATGGAAAGAGGAAAGGTTAGGACTAAGAGAATGGGGACAACCAGATTTCTCACTGAGGAAGATGCCCTAGCAGTAGGGATGGAGGGACTATCAAAACATGAATGCAAATGGTGCAGTTATGGCTTTCAGGCTGGCATCTGAGGAGTACCTTAATGTCTTGCCAGGAACAGTGCTCTTAATGTTAAAAGAGAAGCTGCAGGCCATGAAAAGCAAGCAAGAAGAATTCATGGCTTTCAGGGATAAACTTAAATATGAGAGTAGGTGGATAGGGAAATGAGAGATAAAATCTGTAGTTGTTTCAGGGAAAAGGGCAATCATTTGAGGGTTGAAAGTGAGTCGAACCATTCATCTTAGTGAAGGAGCAGGCGATTAAACAGTTTAGGGAAAATCTGGAGACATCTCCTAGCTGCCTTCAGAGAAGAATGGAAGTGCATTTTGGGTCTGGGTATGTCCTCCTGGGGATGTGCAGTCCTCTATGGAGCATCCCACTTCTGGTAGGAAAAGGGAGTCAATCTCCTGGAACTGGAAACTGTCTCAACAGTGATAAATGAAGCTTTTGGGGTTTAGGACTGGTAATGCAGAGAGGGGCAAGGTGCCTGAGAAGAACAGCTTTGGGAAGGGAATTATCTATTTGTTCTTCTCTGTGCATCCTGTGCTCTGGCAGAGTATTTCTTGCAGAAGGTGGTGAGCTGTAATAATCCTGAGGTGTGGTTGTCCTGAGTTGGACTTATTGGGACTCAAGTTGGTTGTCACAGCTGGAATGAATTCTGGGGGCTGCTGGAGCCCAGTGTCTGTGTCTGGTTGACAGAGCAGGCTCACATCTCTCTAACACCCAGCCCAAAATGTGTCTGAGGCTGCTCTCAAAGGCTTGGTAAGGCCTGGTAAGTCCTGCCAGCCCCAGGGCTCTGGTGTGTGTGCAGGCATGCTCTGCCTTTGGATAATGGTCCCAGTGCATCTTTGATTAACATACTTGTAAAAAATTGTGTGGTGTTCTCAGATTTCAGCCTTGGTCCTGCCCTTACTGTTTAGTTTCCAATTTTGCCAGACATTTTTTGTATACACACATGGCTTGTGCTTAAATCTTACATGTCCACGTACTATAGAGCAGTGTGGGACGGGGTGCTCTGAGCACTGAGGTCTGCCCTGTTGCTGCCTTTGTCCACAAACTTCCCTGAGCCGTGAGAAGCCGCACTCCCCGTAATACCAGCATCACTAGATGGCACATGTGAGCTGCTCCCTTCCTGGCACAGGGCAGGGGAGGTTTCTTCCCTCTGTGTTATTTTATGTCCTTCTAAATATACTTCTGAGGGCAGGGAATGCACAACACATCCAAACTGCCCTGTAGCCCTGGGAAGTGCCACACTGCTGTGCTCTGTCATGGGAGCCTCGAGTCCGTGGTTCTGGTTGACCTCTGCCTTGTTCTGTTGGTGTTTATTGTAGGAATTCCTGTAGCACAGTGCTGTGTATTTGTCAGCAGTTGGAGTTTACTCTCTCTGGGCTTCTGTTTCCCTTTCTGCTGCAGTTCAGACAGGCTCAAGCCTTTCAGGAGCCTCCTAGGCTGTTCTATCATAGATTTGCAGTGGCAAAACTCTCAAAGACAGTCCCAGCTCTTCCTGGGGGTGTGTACTGAACCTCTCAGAGTAATGGAACTGCATTTCCACACCGCAACTGCTGTTTCTCAGAGCTGAGTGGAAAATTGCCTTTCCCTTCTCCAAGGTGGAGTAGATCAAAGGGCTGCATTTCTTCCAGACAAGAAAACACATCTTTACAGCAAGCTGTTATTACTGTCCTTGCTGGACTTAGGTCAGGCTGGATGCAGACAGGAAACCGAATCCCAGGGAGGAACAGGCCTCTGTTTTTGTGTAAACACAGAACTAAAAAGTTTTAAGTATTCTTGGCTCAAGTCAGCCACTGCTCATCCCTGCCAGGCTTAGCAGGGTGGCAGATGTGACCGGGAGGTCATAGCACTGCTCATCACCAGCTGTAGGAAATATTTCTTTAGGAATAAATCTTTTTTTCTTATTATTTTTGCCCCATACACTCCTATAGCCCAACATGTGGGTTGGCTCTGGGCTGGGAGGTGTGGATTGTAACAACCACAGAACTCCCATCTGAGGAGCTGGGAGCAGATGTGGTGCAGCTCTTCCAGCTCAGTTATCATTCTCCATCTTCCAGGAAAAAAAACCACAACTTTTTTTCATGGAGCAGTCACCTGATTTCAGCTGTACACTTGTCTTGTGCTAATGCAGTTCTCAGTTTCCAACCAGGAATGCAATGATAAGTGCACTCCAAGCCTGACTTTAATCTGGTGCCAGGCCTTGCTCAAAGCGCTGAGGAAAGTATTTCTTCTTGCTCTCTCCTGACCATGTCATCCCTGCTCTCAAGTTTCTGATGTTGTGTCCGTGCTATTCTTGCCAGCCAGCATTAGCTGACCAGTCTGAATATTTGGGGATATCTGAGCAGGGTGACTGGAGTGTGGTGGAATGGGCTTGAGAGCTGTTTGATGGCCCCATGGGATCCTTAAGGTTGGAAAAGACATCTAAGGTCATCAAGTCCGAGCACCAACCCATCACTGCCATCTCCCTGACCACGTCTGTTCCAGCTGCTTCCCACAAGGTCCCCTCTGTGGGCACATTGCTCCCCTGTCAGACTGCCTGGGAAGGAGGTGAAGGATGGGAAAGCTGGATGTAAAATAACAGACACTGCAAGAACCATCCATGTACACCCTTCTGTGTGGGTGCATCTATCTACTCTGGGATGTGCAACAACTTAACGAATGCTATTTGTTAACACTAGGAAGGTGAATTCACCCTGCTCTCTTATTCCAGTGGTAGTTTCCACCATCCCCAGAGCTGATTGTAGCCAGAGTCATCTAGCAACAACAGAATCATTTTGTGAGCAGCATCAGAGACCCAGGATATCTTGTGTTATGTACACACCTTTGTCCAAAGCACAGAAAAAGACTTGGAGGCTGAATGTGTCCTGTTTTATTGGCTACTGAAATGCAGCTTTGTTTAGGGCTGAGGGTGCACACCCATAGCTCAGCCACATGTAGGTTTGCACTCGTGCATTTTGTTTGTAACTGTACAGAGGAACCCTGAAGTGCTAGACTGCATTGTATTAATCACATTGGTTTGCAGCCCTGTGACCACAAGTGGAAGTCTTATCTACCAAATTAATACCAATGCTTCCTTTTACAGCAGCTCTTTGAGTTTAAATAGCCTACAAAGAACATTGGCAGGTTTTTATCACTTATTTATCTTACATACCAAATTGTTGCTTCCAAGACAAGGTGGTTGTGTAGATTCAGAAAACACTGTGGCTGTAAGGACGTCTCACTGCTGTTCTCTGAGATCGAAAGAAACCGTGGGAGTTTGCTGTTATTATGGTCCCCCTTTATTTTCTGGTGGTCTTTTCTTACTTCCTTCAGTGATAGGAATGAAGCTGTATTTGAATCAACCCTAGCTGTTAATGTAAAACACACAACATGGGGCATTTAGCAGTGTTTTCCCCTTGAAATTTTGTTTTAGGCAGATAATTCTTACTGGAAACAGAAGGAAAAAACCTTCAACTTCGTGTAAGTTAGCCATGTAAAAACGATGAATGAAAGTGCTGCTTCCTGCCCCCGGGTTGTGACAGAACTGAATGGGAAGAAGCACACTGACACAGAAGGGCTGCCCATCCCATGCCCTGTGCATCACCACCTCTGCTCCAAACAGACACGGAGCTGAGCACCGCCAGAAGGCGCTGAGAGCACAGCAGGCGCACAGCCCTGAGCGCTGATCCACGGCTTTGTGCCCGACTCACATTTATTCCCTGTTCACACAGCATGAAACTGCACCCGAGGCAGGGTCACAGCCACGCAGCACCGGGGATACGGCACAGAGCTTAGAAATAATCCTGTCAGATTTATATAACAAAGAGAAGAACGGTTTCAGGTTCTCCACCACACACAAACCTCTCTTAGTGCTCCAGAGCCAAAGTTTCCAGCGGTGAGAAACGTTTGGATGGACCTTGTGTGTGAATTATTTGGGGTCTTATTACTTGTGGAATACATTTTTATGTATTCTCTGTTATTCCGTTTCCACCTGGAAAAGTAAATTAAGACATAGCATTACCCAAACCATGGGCAGCCAAAGCGTGAGAGGGAAGTGATGTCTAGAGCAAAATGCTCCGGATATCTAAATGCTCTTATTCTGCTGCTGGGATCTCTTTCCTATCAAGTGACATCACAAGCAGAGATTTTTCTTTTGGGGACACGCGGTGTAATCCCCCGTTTATCCGGCACTCACCAGCGCAATCTGCAGCTCGTAAGAGTATATGAAAAATAGAGCCCCGCAGAGCAGCTGCCACCGCTGCCAGCTCCATCCCAGGGCGTCTGCTGCCATCTTCTGGCAGATGCGCGTTATGCAAAGTGCTGCAAACGGTCCTTCCCTGAGCATCTCCGCTTTGCAGCTCCTTCACCCACTGCTGCATCATACGGACATCTCCGGCGAGTCCTCTGGGATATAAAAATCCCATGAGTTAGGGAAAGACGGAGGGAATGGGCTGTAATCTCTGTAGAGGATCTCAGCTCTTCCACTCATACTTTGCAGTGTTCCTTTGTGCTCTCCTTTCTTTTTGTTATGCTACCTAACTACAGACAAGAAACGTGCCCCTTGCATGCCATATTCCCACACCTGCTCCTTTACAGCCTGCTTACGGCCTTTACAGTTCTGCTTGAATGCAGACACGGGAGCTTTCCGTCAACTGGAAAATGGATCTTCCCCATTCTGATAGGAAATGCTCATCCACCCCCAAAAAGGGGATGAAGTGAACTACAGAAATTACCCCAGACCCCAGCAGAGGGCCAAGACGTGGGCTGAGCTGAGCCACCTCTGGGCCGGTGGCCCAGCTCTGGGGCTGTGTTAGGGCCCTGCAGAGGGGCCTTCTCATGACCCTGGTTTACGTTGATGCAGTTCTCGAGTGCTGTGTGCTCTGGGTTTGTTTTCCAGTGGATGACTCTGATCTCCTGTGACCCACAGTGCACACAGCTGTGCAAGTTTCTGGGCCAGAGCTGCTGGGAAAGCGATGGGGTGAGCCAAGCAAACACGCTGCCTTGCTATCTGTTCCTGATATGTGAAGGAGAAAAAGGAGGCAAGGAGTCATAATTAAAAATAATCATAAAAAAAAACTTTGCATGGGTGGGATGTGGACCCTTCGCAACGATTTTTCTGACAACCCCTCTCCCCATATGCCGCGGCTGGAAGGGCCATATCAGGACCAGCAGTTCTCCGGGCGGATTGGTGCTGCTTATCTCTGGGGGACGATCGGAGCCTCCGGCAGAGTGGAGCGGACGGGTTCCTATCTCAGCCCGAGCTCCTATCTCTGACAGCAGGGTTTTGCTGCGCTTTGTCACGAGGTTTGAAGTCAATCCCAGCTGAGGCTGATTCACGCCTCCACGAGGCAGTTCTGAAAGGTGCCCAACGCCCTCATTCACCGGAGCATCTCCACGCCCCGCGGCCGGCTGTGCCCCGGGATGCTCGCTGCCTGCTGACTCACAGCCCGCCCAGCTACCTGCGGGAACGGGAATTCCTACCCGACACGGTTTCCAGCCGGGGCCGAGGGCCGCGCTTTGCAGGTGCCTCGGGGCCGCTTCGGGGGTGCTGCGTCCCGGTCCAGCCGGGGTCGCTCGGTGCCGCTGAGTCCGGGGAAAGGCTCCCGGCTCCCGGTGCGGCGGCAGAGCCCGCCCCGTCCCGCCCCGTCCCCTCCCCGCCGTCCCCGCCCGACGTCACGCAGCCGCCACCGCAGAGCCCGGGGAGGCGCCGGGCCGGAACAGGACGGGGTCAGGCCGAGCCGCAGGAGCCCGAGGCGGCATCGGGAGCGGAGCGCAGCGCGCGGTGCTGCCGCCGCGGTGGGGCCAGGTAGAGCGAGCGGGGTCCGGGTCGCCGGGTCACCGCGCTGCGTGATTGTGGGGGGGGAACGACCGGCGCCGGGTGGCAGCCGATGGCGGTTCGCCTTTCCTTTTTGCCCTCCGAGGCGCGTCACAGCGGGAATAACTGTTTTCTTACGTAATGTTCGGCACCCTGTTACGAAATCACGGCGCGGCTCCGGGGCCGTGACAGCTGAGGCCGGGCGCGGCGGAGCCCCCCGGGTCGGGAGCCGCTGCTGGGGGAGCTTTGAGCCGCGGGGCTCCCGGTGCGGCGCTGCCCGTGCGCGGAGCGAAGGTCGGCGGCCGCGCCCGGCACCTGCCCTGCCCTGCCTCGCTCCGGCTGCGTGGGGACGCGGGGGGGCGGCCCGGTGGCCTCGGGTTACCCCAGAAACCCCGAGCAGCCGAGCCGCGTCCTTTGCCGGGTTAGTTTCTCTTGGGTTTGTTCTTCGAATTCGGTTCTCGGGGTGGGGAGAAATGGCCGTCTGGGAACGTGCGGGAGTCGGGTTTGCCCTGGGCGGCTGCAGCGGGGAGCTGCGTCCGTTCTGCCTCGTCACAGCCTCGCTGGGAACAGCTCTTGCTGGAGGGTGATGGAGTCCGTCTGTCCGTCCTGAGGCGTTTGGTTTAAAAAAAAAAAAGAGAAGAATGACCGAAAGCGAAGCAAAGCTGACTCATCCTTCCTGACCCTGCATGCTGGGGAATATTCGTGACGATGCTGACACGGAGCCCATCACCGTGTGATGGGGATCAGGAGCACTTGGAGGTTTCTGCTCAGTGCAGAGGATGCTTGAGTGTTCAGGTTGGGTATCAGGAGAAATTTCCGTTGGTGATGGACGAGCGTGTGCTGCCCAGGGAGTGGGGCTCACCATCCCCAGAGGTGCTCCAGAATGTGGGGATGTGGCACTTGGGGATGCGTCAGTGGGCACAGTGTGGCTGGGGTGGGGTTGGATTTAATGGTCTTAGATGGTCTTTTCAACTTTAGTGATTCTGTGATTCATCTGCCTCAGGGAATTTAATCAACGTGATCTGGTTGGAGTTCCTTCCAAAAAGGCCTCATGAAGGCACCCTGTAATAATTCCTGCACCCAGTGTGCTCTGTGGGAGGCTTACACATATCCACAGTCTGCACCCTTTATTCCATCCTGTTTGTGGCTGTGCGAGTGGGATGTGATGACATGTGGGACATTGGCATGTGGGACATCAATGGGGTTGCCCTGGCAGCAGGAGTGATGTCCTTTTATCCCCATGGGATGCAGCCAGGGAGCTCCTCACCTATGTGTGCTGCAGGAAGAGAGAACCCGCGTTGCTCTTCTTTGGTGCTGGAGGAGCAAGGTGTCAAAACGTGCTGGGAGACAAGGCGTTGTTTTAATTAGTCACCCCTGTTGATGGATGTGAGGCATTGCTGCAGAGGGGCCAGGCACCAGGGATGTATCCATGAGCATGTTTGAGCTGAGCCCCTATGAGTGCACGGAGGGCCCTGGCCCTGCTGGGAGTAACAGCAGCACTGCTTTCCTGGTCTGCAGGCAGCTGAAAGGAGCTGAGATTTACTGTCATTTTTTAATTCAATGCGCAGCATGTGTGCTTCTTCCTTCTTGCACTTTTAATGCAAACAGCAGCTACAGCAAGCTGCGGCATCCCCAACTCTGTTAAATTGATATTTATGTGTGATAGCTTAATTAGGGCTTTTGGTACAGCGCTGTTCGTAATTTATACCCGTGCAATGAAGAGCAGACTCTTTCTTTCTTTAATTCTGTAAATATTAGTTCAGACTAAATCACAGTATTTACGTTTGCTTTTAAGCTGTTTATTTCCCTTCTGCTCCAGTGTTCGTTGTGCTACAGATCCATGGCATAAATCCATCCTTGAAAACGAAATCTGCTCTGTGGTGTATGTAGTTTGAAAGCAAAGCTGCAGTAGGAAGGCTGCGGTCCTGCAGGTGCTGTAGATCATCACAAGGACATTGCACTAATACCTGCATGAATGAAATTGCAGACTGCAGGGCTGTAAATTTGGAGCCATGATGGTGTGTGGATGTGTGATGGCACAGCACAAGTTGGGGCAGAAAGTGTTAGTGTGTGTTTTGTTCCATAAAGCATTTACAAACATCAGGCATCCCAAAAAACTTGTGTCTGTGCCTGATGTGATGTGTGACCCCATGGCACTACCTGGATAATTTGTGGCTTAGTTTATTTTTACGTCTCTGCAGAACTGGGATTCAGAGCACAATGCCACCATGGCTTGAATGGCTTTGAGATCTGAGTGGGGAAAAACCAAACTGCAGAGCCAGCACCGGGCCCAGCAGTCAGTGCTGCCCCTGGCTGGGCAGGGAGCTGTGCCCACACACTGAGCACTGTGTGTTATTGCTGATACACCATATGGGAAATGCTGCACAGCTGCGAGCCCAGAAACGTGCTTAAGAGCTACTTCATACCAAGGAATCCTTTTTCTTTCCATAAAGGAGATAAATAGGAAATGTATCAGATTTTTTTGTCTTGAGGCAGAAGACCCTCATGTGATGATACCAGAGTGGTTGGTGTCACAGCCTGATGCTGTTCCTCCCAGTCTACGTAGCAGAGGGATGAATCCCTTGGTGTCATGGGCACAGGGAGCAGAAGCATTTAGACCTATGGTTATTAATCAGGAAATGCTGCACAGGTTCAAGTTTATTAGGAAAAACATGACTAGAGTAAGGTTAAATCCAGCCTTTTAAATTTCTTAGCCACAAATCTGATAGACTCCTGTTGTTGTCTTGGAAACTCAGTCATCCATTGATTATATTCTTATTTTAAACTTTTTGAGAGCTCTTCCCCCTCATGTAAGTTTCATGTTGTTAAGTCTGTGCGGGGAAGCATCAAGTAAGAGAGTAATCGATCACAGAGATGAACTCAGATTTGCTAAGGATGCCCTGATGGCTTGCTGTCTGTTGGGGCTGAACCAGAACCATGCTGCAGACTGAAACTTTGCCATCTGTGACATTGGAAAACTCGTTCTGCTGGGCTGCCTTGTGTTCAGTGAAATCTTGGCTAGGGCTGTGGGTGCCTCAGTCATGACTTGCATGGCAGTGTTACCCTCTCAAGAAAATGGAAATATTTTACTACTTGAACATACAGTACGTAATCTCTTTGGTCTGCTTCATGCTGGAGCTGACGTTTGTGGTCACTCTGAGATACTCGCACAAATGGAGAAGTGTGAGAACAGTGATTTCATTTCACTCCTACTCTAATCTGAGTTAATGTGCTGGGATCCTACTGGTGAAAAGCAAGGGCACTTGGCCACAGCCATGCCTTGATCCTTTAAGAGTTTGAATCCCCGCTAAGCATGCTTGTCTTACAACCTGCACTCACTCAGGATGTAATCAGTTTTGTTTTCCATCTGTTAAATGAGAGGCTTTGATTAGCCCAGGCAAACAGAAATAATTATTTTTGTTCTTGCTGATGACAACAGCAAAGTTAACCAGCACATGCATATTTCATCATGTTTTCTGCACTCAGCAATTTCAAGCACCTTGTTCTGTGTGTTTTACCTGATTTGCCTTACAAAAAGGATTTGGCTTCCAGTATTGTCCCTTAATTATAGTAATTGCCTAAGTGGAGATCTCAGCATCTCCTGCTGTCCCATGGCAGCCGTGGCCGCGCGGCAGCCTGACCTGGCCTGTCCACCTGGCAAGCACAAACGCTCTGCTAAACCCAACCCAAACACACAAGGCATCCGATTTTCAATGAAATATTTTGATTTTTATGGAGTGACTGAAAGGGGCTGCTGATAAAACATGTCTGATAAATGCCAAAATGCAGTTCGCAGAGCAGCGTGATCTAATTTTCAAATGGAGGGATTTTAGCATTTTGAATTTTTGATGATGCTAAATGGGAATACCCATCAGAGGGTTCTCCTGAGACCGGGCTGCTCTGGCTGGGAGGATACATTCCTCAGCCTTAGTGACCCACCCCTCCATAACCTGTGCTGGGGGCCCTCTGAGTGCCCCCAAGCTCTGCCCCAGGCTGCCATCTCCAGCACGTGGTGCTGTGCTCTGGGGGACTTCAGTGAAGAGCAGAGGATCTTCTCAGAGAAGTCTGTTAGTTGGTTTGTTCGTTGATTGATTTCTAAAGGCTGGTTTTCTGTTCCCAGAACCACATCCGATCCACTTTTGGAATAGTTTCTCCTGTAGAGAGCAGTGCTTGCAAACTAAATCCCAGCGTTCATGGCTCTGCAAGAAATGGAGACGTTTAGGCCTAATATGAGCAACTGAAACTCCTTTGGAATATGCTGAGAATATAAATATAGTATATTCTAAATGTAACTGTTTGGCTGCTTACTCACGTGGAATTGCAACTTACTAATGAGCTTTATTTGGACATGATGGGCCTTCTTGATGCATGCATTCAAGGACGTTTGGGTTGAATGCTGGGAGAAATTTCTTCTCCAAAGAGTGGTGATGCATGGGCACGGCTGCCCAGGGAGGGGGGGAATCCCCAGCACTGGAGGTGTTCCAGAGCCGTGGGGATGTGGCACTGGGGGTCAGTGGGCACAGTGGGGTGGATTGGGGTTGGACTCGGTCATCTTGGAAGTCCTTTCCAATCTTAATGGTTCTGTGATTCCATGCAGGTTGTGTCCCCAGCTGAAGCTGCATCGCAGCATGCACTCTGCTTTCAGTGCATTCTGTGAAGATCGTTGGCTTTGATTCAGCCACCAGATCCAGTTTGTTCCCTCTAGGATAGGGATTCCTCACTTATGCAATAGCAATATCCTGCTTTAACAGGCAACGGCTTGTTGGGCTGAGCGGCTGCCCAAAGGAATGCCTATCTGCAGCTCGTGGGGTGGTACCTGCTAAAGAGGCTGCAGGATTTGGGCAAGGCTGCGTCCCTGGTGCTCACAGCCAGCTGCTCTGTTTGTGGCTGAAGGGAAGAGTTTGCTGCTCAGGTTGGTTAGAGTTGTGGTGCGGTGAGGGCCAGCTCTGCATGCGTGCTTCATCTCCTTCACTTTTGTAAAATGAAGTCTTGCAGAAAAGGGCAGGAGGTGTACACTACTTCACATCACTTGACTTTACTTCCCTAGAACAAAAGAATATGGATTTAGTTCGTTTGTTCCTCTCAGGATCGTGCGTGGCATCCCTTCAGTCCTCTTCTCAACAAGTTTGGTTTTTCACCAGAAAAACACTTCCAGGATAATGGCTAAGGAGAAACTATCTGTTAACAGCAATTCCAGAGTCAAAGAAAATGGAAGGTGAAAAAGGACCATTTGTTGATTTTGCTAACATCAGTGTTGGCCATTTGCTGCTGTCAGTTAGGGAGGGATGGGAGTTACAGCTGCTGGATGTCTGTTCTGGGTACATTTGTGAGAGGTTGACCTTGGGGTTCTAATTCTTTGCATCAGAACGCATAGATCAGTTGCAAGTAACAGAAGAAGTGCTTCCTAGAAGTTGTTTAAAAAGTTATCCATTCATGTGGTTCTACTGATAAAGGCACAGACAACTTTTGTTGGGTTTTCTTGTGTTTTTTTTTAACGTATTTGTTCTACAATCTGTTACTCATCCTCAGTGGTAAATGCATGTTTATCACTTAGCAAAAGGGCAAACTCAAATCTCAGTAGCTGCTTCCTTCTGCCTATATTTAATTGGTAGGTTGTGGATAGAAAATAAAACTGTCTGAAGCTTGGGAATTAGGCTTTAGTTGCTTTTTGCTTAAGCAAATTAAATAAACAGCTTTCTGAACACCGTAACCGTCCCCTGTTTTTTCTTCCCACCCAGAAAATGGCTGTTCCACCTGCTTATGCTGATCTGGGCAAGTCTGCCAGAGATGTGTTCACCAAAGGATATGGTAAATAAAGCCAAAATAAGTTTCATCTTTCTCTGATTCTTGAAACTGTTACGATTTCGCTACTTTTCTCTGATAAATATTCCACTAATTTCCATTAGAATCCGGAGTTTTCTATATCCTAGCTTCGCATTGCCATGGCTGCCTGCAAAGGGAGGTGACTTATTCTTGCTTACACAAAAATCTTCATGTTCCCCGTGGCTCTGTTGTCTGTTTTGAGAGCAAACGGGGTGTTGTATTTTGACTGCTTCCATCCATCATGAATAGGACTATTGATGTCAGTAATTTCCTAGTGAAAAAACTGCTGCTCAGTATGAATGAAGGCATTCTTACCTAGGCTGCTCCTGGTGCTATCGCAGGGCAGCAGGGCTGGTGCAGGCAGTGCAGTCTGAAGGCATTGTGAGCTGTGTAAGCTGCTGCTTTACAACCTGGGATTCAGCAGCTGTACCCATGTTGTGGTTTTTGTTTTATTTTTAATAGTTAACAGCAGATTGAGAGGAGCTTTGAGGGGTAAATCTGACATGCTTTTCAAATTAATTTGTATATAATTCATGTTTTTCTTCATCTTCTAGGTTTTGGGTTAATAAAACTTGATTTGAAAACAAAATCTGAGAATGGACTGGTGAGTGTGGGCAGGGACTGAAATCCCAAACGTGGCAGTGCTCCTATGCTTGCCCTTTTTAAAAATAGAAATGTCTCCCTTGCTCTCCCTGTATCAGCTTTCAGATATGATAGCCCTGCAACTTACCGTGCCTTTATGGTGCAGGTCTGTGCAGGACCTGGAGCAGGTGCTGCAGGATGTGCTGTGTGCTGTTCTTCTTAGCACACACTTAACACACGATGGCAACGTAACCATGTGTTGGAGCTGATCTTTAGAACAACAAGAAGTACTTGCAGCCTTGTGTGCTGATTCACAGGTACAGCTCGTGCACTGAGCTCTCAGATCAGCTGCTTATGTTGTGTTATACTGATGGTAAGAATCAGCTCCTCTCTGCCCCATGTCCTTCAGCAGGCAGAGCTGCTTCTCCCTGACGTTTCTGTGGGCATGATATTAATGTTGATATGAATGACTTGCAAACATGTTCTTAAATCTTTGAGAAAGCTGCAGATCTTATTGTCCCAAATTACAGTGACTAATAACTCTACAAGGATCAGTAATCGCATGAGTACAAAAAACAGAGTGATAGATGTAATTTTCTTTTTCCTCTTCAGGAATTTACAAGCTCCGGTTCAGCAAACTCAGAAACGAACAAAGTCAGTGGTAGCTTGGAAACCAAATACAGATGGGTGGAATACGGACTGATGTTCACAGAGAAGTGGAACACTGACAACACGCTGGGAACTGAGATCACTCTTGAAGACCAGGTAACTTGTGGCTTAACATGCAGCTTCCAGATTCACTTGTGATAATGTCTGATTGGAAATCCAACCAGTGAATTTCTTTTCTGTTCAGCTTGCACGTGGCCTGAAGCTGACTTTTGACTCCTCCTTCTCACCTAACACTGGGTAAGATGTTAGTAAGCTTCAGAGACACACTCACACACAAAAAGCTTTTTTTGGTTCTGTTTTAGTCTTCCAAAATACTGTCGTCTTTACTCTTTCTGTTGACCTAAGACATCAAGGCATTTAATAGTCTGTCTGTGCACAATGGAATCTTGTATACTTAGTTTAACTCTTATAATGAACAATCGCTCTCTAAACCTAACTTCGAAATGCAGTAACTTGAAAATTACAGTCAGAATCAGAAGGAAAGGTTTTGTTTCTGCCCCTGTTGCTTACTTCTAACCATGTCAGAAAATGAGTACTTCATTCCTGCCTGAATAAAAATGCCAGACAAATCAGCAGTAATGCAAAGCTTAACAAGCTCCACAAGCCAGTTGGCCGTGGCTCTAATAGGTCGACACAGTAATTGGGCTCTTTTCCCAAGCTGAATTTATCATCTGAGTTCCTGCTGGCTGCAGAGTGCCGTGGTGCTGGACCCTGCGATTGGATGTCACAGTTATGTGGGCCAGAGGGATTAAGTAGCAGCTGTAGGACTGTATGTTGGTTTATTTTTTTTTCCCCTCTTGATTATCTTTTTGCAATCAGTGCTGCCACTGAGCCAAAATGGCCTCTTCTGAGATGTTCTGAGATGCTCAGAGCTGCAGTGGCTGTAGTCCCAATGGAGGTTTCATCCTGCCTGAAATGTCATGTTCCCCACTGCCAGCTGCTTGCTGTCCATTCTTTATTCTGAATTAACTAGATATTTTTGCATTGGTCAACGAGAATAGTCTCTAGTCTTTGTTGATAATTATTTCTTAGCTTCTGCAGTAATTGCAGGCAAGCTAATGCTAGCTTGGACTCCTGCTTCACAAATTCCTGAGTCAGAAATAATAATAATAATTATAATAATAGAGAGCAATCTTTATACAGGGCTGATACAGCATGTTTTGCAGATCTTGGGAACTCTTTCTGCTAGCTGAAGTGGGCAGTTGAATAGAAATTTCATATCAGCCTTACTTTTCTGAAAGGATTTCAGAAAATGATTTGGTCAAAGAAAGAAGAGAGATGAAAAAAGAAAAACAAACAAAACAACCAACAAAACAACTTAAAGAAGAGCAGCTGAATGTTACTCCTGCTGAGTGAAGATCTGCTCTGTTGATGTAAGCAGTCATAAGGACACATGAGCAAGCACTGTCCTGGCCGATAGTCTAAAAGAAGGAAGTGACTTAGGAAAGTTTATTTCTGCAATTAGCTTCCTTATGGTTGTAAGCATGCAGTGCTATAATGCATCATGAGGAGGAAAGGGCCACTGAAGCAGCCTGCTCCCTTAGCAGCTGAGATCTTCCCCTGGGAAGCTGGAGGCAAAAAAGTGGTTTGTTGTTGTCTGTCAGAATAAATGAAATTATGCAGTAACCAGGATTGCCTAAAAACTGTTTGTCTGGGACAGAAGGTGAACTGCTTTTGTCTGTGGCAAACCTGTGAACTGTTAGTTTCTGTTATTGCCTTGTCACTCCTAAACTACTGAGAAATCAGTTTGTAGTGAGGATTTGCTTTTGTCGCCTCAAGTCTGACAAACTGTGCTGCTGCTCAGCAGAATGCAGCTCAGAAGGGCTTAGGAAAGCACTGCAGTGCATGTGATTGCATATACTTACTGTCGATGAATTACTTTTTTTCAAATGTGACATCTAAGGAGGTGATGTATCCTGACTCTTCAGGTATGTGTACTTTGTCTTCACAATCTGTTACGTGGAGTTGAAGTAACTGATTTGATTGAATTGCCACCTGAAAGTGCCTTTTCAAGGATGTGAGATTCTTTCCTTTTGCTTTAGGAAAAAGAGTGCTAAAATTAAGACAGGATACAAAAGGGAACACATCAACATGGGCTGCGACATGGATTTTGATATCGCCGGTCCTTCGATACGTGGAGCCCTGGTGCTTGGCTACGAGGGCTGGTTGGCAGGTTACCAAATGACTTTTGAGACTGCAAAGTCTAGAGTAACCCAGAGCAATTTTGCTGTTGGCTACAAGACTGATGAGTTCCAGCTTCACACTAATGTGTAAGTATTGGAGGATGGGCATTAAAAAGAATTTAAGAGGATTTTGAAGCTTCCAGAACAGTGATGGGGCAGAGTTTCAAAACTGGAAAAGAAGGAGAGGTGGCTCTGACATTGCTTCTTCATTTGGGATGGCAAGCTGAGTTTTACAGTTGCATTAGCTTTCCACATATGTGTGGGTGCATCCATAGTCCATCCTTCTGACACACAGTGACACACAATGACTTCTGAAATCTCTTAGTGAAATCATAAAACAAGTGGGTTTAAAAATATTGTTCGTGAATGTTGAAGTAAAAGCAATGCCTCCCTTCTGCACATGTAAAAATTGAACAAACTGTAGTTGTTTGATATGAGGAAGAAGGAGTTTAATCAGAAGATGACAGTAACAGACAAAGGAGATCCAGTGGAAGAGATATGGACTGGTTTAGTTTCAAGACTGAAAGGGATATGATTGAAAAGTTTGCTTTAGTATTGCAACTCTAATAATAATCTATATAGCATTTGTGTTTCTGAGTGTTTGTGCAGAGGGAAACCAGGATTAAATTCCTCGAAAACTTAATTTTTGTGCCTTCTATTCCTCTTAAAAAAGCAATTAATGTCTTTAGTAAGGGCTTTTTTTTTTTTTTTTTTAAAGATTAGGCAATCCCTACTCCACCCCCTTTACCACTCCCTTGGGTAACTGCATATTTTGCATGTAGCAGAGCTGTTGCAGGCTGTTCCCATTTCAGGGCTGCACAACCTTTCTGCTTTCCTGGAGCTGCTGCTTCAAAGGCTTTCTGTTCTGTCTCATGCTGTTTTGCAGAGATCTGTTTTAGGAAGCTGCTTTACAGAACAACTGAACCTTCACAGCCCAGGCAGCGTGTTTGAAGGACTGCCAAAGCACAAAAATGTGGGCAGAAAACTCATCACACCATTACAAGGGGTCCCCCTCCACTCAGCAGTTACGAACTATTCCTTCAAGCATAATGGCTTCCAACTTTGTTACACTGTAGTAGTTAAAAACATTGTATTATTGGCTTTTGCTATAAAATACAGTAATTGCTGTTACTCCTGATTAAAGCAACAGCAGAAAATAACATCAGAGCATTACATGGGACCCGAGCCCTGCTGCTGTTCCTTGGATCCCTGAGGGTCTGTTATTAGGCCCTATTATATTGCTACTATGAGTGGATGATGAATGATCTTCAAGAGAATGCCTTGTTTCCTTGTTTAGCATTCATACTCTAGCAACCGATGGGCAAAAATGTAAATGTGTGATATGAACAGAAATCTTAATAATTGATATTAATGGCTTAGCTAGGTGCTTTTGGCATGTTTCAACTTTGAAGCGTGTAAAATCCAGGAAACTGTCGTATTTGGAATTTGCATGACTGGCGTGCTGGGTCATTATATCTAGGCAGCTCAGTGTTTCAAAAGGATGCTGTGGCATGGGAGGTGAATGAACTAGGTGGGGCTTGAAGCATCGCCTTCTGTTCTGCCTGCTTCACAGAGCAGCCAGGGGCCTGAGCAAGTTGCTTTCCTTAATGGTGCCTTAATATCTGCATTTCCATAGAGGGGTAATGTTTTTGATCTATGTATGAAAAGTGTTATTACTATAACTAGAATTAAAAA